TGCATTTTTTTGACAGTGACTCTATATCTACACTTTAATTAGATTTGCATGGTATGTTATTTGCTAGACTGAAAAACATACTAATGCAACATATATTAATATGCGGTATTATCTGCATGTCGTTTCGCAGAGAACGTCATTCCTCCAACTTATAAAAACGAGCTCAGCTCAAACTACTGAGACAGGAGTTACAGAAACATGTGTGACCTAAGAAAAGCGGAAATTCCTGATCTAAAAAAGGAAAAGTAGGAAAGAAAATGCAGACAAAAAGACCTCAGCTCAAGCACTACATGAGAGCCTAACTAATATTCAGACTGGGATTATGCATTTGCTCACACAGGACCTCCATCACAAACACAGTCTGTCATGTTAACTTCTCAACCCAAAGATGGAAGTCGAAAGTAAAACCTCTGCAACTTTCAGTTTTTTTCTCTCATTACCAGCTGTGATAAACAGTTGTTGTTTTCATGTGTGAAAAACTAAGCACACCCCTTACTGTTTCTATATTAAGGAGGAGGGAAAGTAACAGCCAGATGACTGATTAACTGATCGTTGGTAAGTGTTAAAGTGACGTTTGCTGATCTAAAGTTCATAACACGACTCACCTGAAATGCTGTGGTGGGACTTTAAGGAAGGGTTTCCATAAACAAGTCAACCAGAAAATCACTTCAAGTTATTATTACTAAAGCTATAATAATCGCTGGAATGTGAAATTCATAGAGAAACTCCCAGATCCTTCTACTGACCGCTGCGACACACCTGCACCAGGGCAAACCTCCGCCTGCCCCACTCCTGCTAAACAGGTGAAAACAGAGCAACAGGACCGCTGAGTCTTTGATTTTATTTATTTTCTGCTCTGTTTTACTTGCATCTATTTGAAAGAGTGAGTGTAAACACAAAAAACTATTTTATTTGCTTTACTTCATATGTTTCATATGTTGTTTGTTTAATTTAAGACAAAAAAAATAAATGAATGAGAGGTAAAACTTGAGGGGGTAGGGACAAATAAGTAAATACTTCTGCCTACTCCTTTTCAAACAAATAATGGAATGATATTTTGTAATGATTGTGAAGGCACATGTTTGAAATGTTTGAAATAAAAATGAACTGAACTATTTTATGTGATGGAATATGAAGAAAATAGGTTTAAATGTTAAACAAATTTCTTCCAGTCAGAGAATGTTGCATATAATTTAATTTTTGCTTGATGCATAAAGTTAAAAGATTAAAACTAATAAAACAAGTTTTAAAAAGAGACTTTTCCATTTGATTACATTTTGTATGATGGATTATGCAGAAAAATTAAAATTGGGATGAAAGATCTATCACTTTATCACCTATTCAGGGTGTAAATCATGTTTTAAAAAGTAACTAAGTAACTAATTACTTTTGAAAATAAGTTATCAGTAAAGTAACGGGATTACTTTTTCGGGAAGTAATCAGTAATTAGCTACTGATTACTTTTTTCAAGTAACTTGACCAACACTGCTAATAAGTCACATAGGGTGTTAATGGGTGTGGAGGATCACGGCTGTCTGTGCCACAGAGACTTTTTACTTGAGTTTTCCTCACAGTGCTCCAGCCCAGCGCTGCAATTTTGTTCAGAACCAGTGAGCGGTAAATAGCTGAAGAAATGAGATACAGCTTGGAAACAGCTAGAAGCAGCGAGCGTGGCCGACGAACGGAAGTTTGCACGCAGCTGAGTGATGGAAAGACAGAGAAGCAGCAGAGAAATAAGCAGCTGACATCGAACGCCCACCAGGGCACCAACACAAACGCACAAATAGACAGATGGACAGAGAAAACAAACACGCACAACACTCACATTTACAGAGAATTAAGACACAAAGAAAATTGCACAACTCTCTGACATCGGCTCTTAATCTCCAGCGTCGGTGCTGACTGACATTTCCAATAACCTGCAATTTTCTCCCCGCACTCTATACGAGTGTGTCCGCACTGACCTGCCTTCCATATTTAGACAAAACTTTTACTCTGCTGCACGTAATGTGCTGCAGATAGCCAGAAAAATGAGAAGGTAAAAAAAACAAAAAGTAAAAAAATAATGGTACTGCCACTGAAAGGGGAGAAACATGATATTTTGTTCTGTAACAGCCACCATAAGATAACCTGATGTGCATGTCAGCAGGAAGTGAGAGCGCACATACTGTAGGTAGATAATGATCCTGTTCAGACTGTTCTTCAGTGAGTGCCTAAAAATAAAAACCACTGTTGCTCTGATGTAACCCCTGAACCTCCCGTGCCCTTCAGCGAATGCACACACAGGAAACTCACACTGGATGCTGATGGGCGCAAATACAATTTACATCCTCTGATTATCTTGTCTGCTACACTGGTTTCACTGCACATCTCGGGATCGGATCGCTGCATCTGTTGTTGTTGTTTGGAAGAGGGGGAAAAGAGGAGAGATGGGAAGTAATTGTGTGTGTGGGTGAGAGATGCCTGAAGATGAGGAGGAAAAGAGAGGGTATCAAACTTAAGCTCTGACAGGATTTTCAGTTTAGATAAACATGAGCAGTCATGGCTTTACGCGTGAATTACTTCAGACACACAAGGGTGACGGACGCTTGGTTTAACTGCTGATCATCCGACAAAGTTTTTTTTTTCTTTTTAATTCTACAGTGCTGGTTTTAACTATAAATGGAGCAGTTGTTAGGTAATATGTAATGCCCTTAAAACTACAGTTGCTGCTCAGGTAGTGAGGTTCAATTACATAACATGCAACAGCATCACTCAGCTGAAAAGCCACAGAGTAAAAAACAAATAATTTCAAAAGTGTCTAAAATGATTTAACGCTCCAATGTACCACAGAGACATTGATGATAATTATAAATTATCTGGATCTGGAGTGAACGCATGCAGTTTAATCCTTTAAGTTATCTCTAATCTTTAAAAGTAGAGTAACTGCACAAATTATTTCTGATTTGGAATTTCATTTCACACGTAGTGTACATTTATATTAATATATATTTTCCTATACGCTGATTAACCGATTTGTTGTTCTTTTACGACTCACTTCCTCATAAAACGTTAGGTATTTAAATTTAATTCAACATAATTTTATTTATATAGAACTTAATCACAATATCAGGTAATGTTATCAGGTAAAGACCCCGCAATAATAATAATAATACAGAAAACCGCAGCAATCAGACGACCTCCCTATGAGCAAATACTTGGTGAAAGTGGGAATGAAAAACTCCCATTTAACAGGAATCTCTGGGTTGAAGGGAGGAAGACAGGACAAAAGATGCACTGTGGAAGAGATAATGATTGAAACTGAATTATAATTAGTACAGTTAAGTTATATTATAGGATATTTTAGTCAGACAGTACTTAGTAATGCTTTATTTTTGATTTGATGCACATGCTTTACTGCATTTTAGGTACAGTGAACCTATCATGTTAATTAAACCAGTTTGATAGGAGTTCACTTTGTGGCTTTATCCTGCAATCAGCCATTAGAAGACAGGCACACTGTGGTCATAAAAGGCGCACATGATCAGCAGTGATGCTCAGTTGGTACTAAGGACCCCAAAGTGTGCAAATGAAACATTTCCCCATACCACCAGCCTGAACTGTTGAGGTAAGACAGGATGGAGCTGTGCTTTTATGGTGTTCTGACCTAACTGTGATCCTGCCATCCGAATGTTGGAGCAAAAATTGGTGAGCCTGTACAAATTGTAGCCTCAGCTTCCTGTTCTTAGCTGACAGGAGCGGCACCCGGTGCGATCCTCTGCTGCTTTTGCCCATCTGTTGAAGGTTTGTTGCACCTTGGTGGTAATGAGCAGTTATTTGAGTTACTGTTGCATTCCAGCTCGAAGCAGGCTGACCATCATCCTCTGACCTCTGACATCAACAAGGCATTTTCTCCCAGAGAACTGCTGCTTGTGGACTTTACCACCACTGTTAAAGTGTTAAAGTGTCCAGTGAGTGTATTTTGAATAAGAATCAGACCGACCAATCACTGGAGCCCATTAATCTCTTCCCTAACGCAGCAGACAGGTGTGGAGTCCACATGGTTTCAAGTTCCCCATTATGTTTTTATTGCATTAGTATTTATTTATTTACAGCCTGCTTTTAAAGGATATGGAAACATCTGCTTAAAGATAATTGAGTGTGGGTGGAGAGGACTCGATTGGTTAGATTATATTCAGGCTGAACAGTCACTGTAGGTGAGCGGGGCCTGGAATACCCAGGGAACTGGAGAAATATGATTTATAGCACTCAGCCTTCTCATTATTTGGTTGAGGCTGTCAGCTGTCACTGCACACACAGGAAATCCACGAGGCTGCATAGCCACAGGGCACGGGAACAGTGCGACTGCGCATCCTCCAAAACCCGCCGTAATGACAGGCTGTGGGGATGACTGACAGACGTCAGCACTGTCTGCGTCCCTTTTCCATTCAAGTCAAAGCTTTGAAAGGCTGACGGTTGTGTGCTGAATGTACACTTCGTGTGCACGTATGCACAAATGTGTGAGAAGCAAATGCACAGAAGGAGAAAAGCAGCAAACACATTTAATATTTTTTGTAAACACTCAAAAAATTTTGTTACTCCTTTTAATCATTTACTCCACATTTTTATTTAAAGTCATTTAAAGTACCTTTCAATGCTTTAAAAAAATTGCATATTGGTAAAGTGAAGAATTACTTGTGATACCCGTGTCTCATAATTTCTACTCTCAGCCTGGTTTTAGCTCACCTCAGAGCTTCCTTTATTTCCAGACATGCTCAGTTTGGATTAGTCTGATAACAGAACTACAACCACAGAATGGGCGCTACACAGAAGCTGTTATGTACATATATAATTACTTTGTTAACGGTCAGCCTCAAGCAGCCACTTAACTAGTGTCACAGTCAATGGTTGGAGACAGCAGCGCGGCAGCAGACAGTTAAAATAATCATCCTTTGTGAAGTGACACAGACACAGCACACGTCACCAAACGCTCGATCAACACAAGAAACAAGACACGTTAGTTTCATTTATATACTCTTTAATATATCTTAAAAAATGGATATACAATCTGAGAAAGAAAATGTCGAGAATCTGAAGAAGAACAGATTGTTAATCTCGTTCCTCTGGCCCTGGAGTTTAACTGAAGCGAAGACATTTCCAGAGAAACATCCGAAGAAGAGGAGAAAACAAAACAAATTACCTCCAACAACACAAACTGCCAAACTAAAGGACACCGATAACAAGATCTCCAACAGCAAGCAAAAGTATTATTAAGGCCAAGAAAAAGCACTGAGTGTTGGGCTGAGGCAAAAACTACCGAGACAATTTGTTGCCAATTAATGAAGCGTGGTGTAGCCAGATCTGGGACTGCTGTCACTCTGTTTTTAAAGTCCTGGGTCTTTTATTTTGGCAGAGTCGGGTGCTTTGTGTTGTTGTGTTTGCTAAGAAAATAAAAATGATCTGAGCTGATGAATCCAGATTTTAAAAAAGAAAGAGGAAACCAGAGCATGCTAACAAGTCACATCGTCTCCACAAGTCACACTGTAACTGCCCACACACACACAGACACACTCCAGGAGCACAAACTGTCATTTTTGTTAATCTTACACGCACACTTCCTACACAAAAATTCAATCTTCTGCCTCTACATTTCCACATCCTCGGTAGACTGCAACACTCGCACACAGACGTTTTCCTCATGCAGACGTGAAAACAAAGCTGAACAGGTGAAAACAGGCGATACTTACAGACTCAAACCGGAGGCACAGCAATAGCCAGGGCCGGGCAAACGACACACGCTCACACACACACACATAAAAACACAATCACTAGCCAAAACCCACAGCAGCAGAGGTTCATGGAGACATTATCTAGTTAGTCCAGAATTCCTAGCAGCCATCCCACAAAGCATAATCTGCTCTAGTCAACCGAGAGGCGCAAATATAGTTTAACTAGTTAACTAGCACTCGAGGTAGCAATTTAATCCAGTGTCAAACATGTCAACTGCCTCAAGAGTGTTTCCCACCAAATCTGTGCAGTTTTTTTAACCTCCCCTTTTCCCCAGTGTTTGACTGTGACCGAGCCTGCAGAGCTCCACACATTTATTAGACCCCCCCATCCCCCCACCCCCAGGGTAAGGTTTACCCCACTGCTGCCCTAAATCAAAAGTATTAGTAATGACCAAAATCATTGTTTATGTTTCTGTAATGCTTAATCCTGCAGTACACACAAGCTCTTAATCAAAATTGGATTTTTAAATGGTAAAATATAGTTATTGTTATGATCCCTGACATTTTAAATTTCCTGTTTCACAAAAACGCTGAAAAAGTAAATCACAATTATTAGCAATTATTGTTATTATTTTTATTAAGATGCCAAATTACATGTTAACTTGCATTACTGAATAGAAAAATTCGTTTTAGTTGTTGAATGTGATGTCTCAGAGAAGTGCTGCAGATCAAATTCACCTATAAAAATGTAAAATCGGTTTGTTTTTGCATAAACAAAGAAAAAAAACCATATTTTTGACAGAATTCTCAAATATTTGTGATTCCTGTTTTTATGACAGGCGTTCCAATGGCTTTGTTAAGTACTGCACTTTCATAGATTTCATAGATGTCCAGAATGACGCCTTCCTGCAGTCTCTAACAGATCTGAAGCCACTTACATTAGCTAGCTAGTAATCCTGCTAGCATGTCATCTTGCCATCTGTTTTCATGCAATCTGGAAACCTGCCTTTTAAAGTAGCTGCTTGAACCAGCGTTCAAGTCTTCTGGGCTTCTGATGCACCCAGTGGAGATATATTTGGGCCAAGTTTTCATATTCTTTTGGCCAGTTATGACTTACACCTGCATGCAACTACAGCCTGCTCACCGATCAGTTGAACTCTGGCTACAAACAATAACAGCAGACTCTGCACGTCTGTATGCAGATATCATTTACAGAGTGGTCTTTATGAACCTCTGCTATTGTTTTCTCCACACACATTCAGATAGTGAAATCATACAGTCTGCTTACAAAGGGGGAGAGACTGAAATAGCGCCATTTTTAGAAAGATACAGTCAGCTCGGAAATCTCCCTAAGGGAGCAGAACGAGGGGGTTTGTGCAGATCAGTCAAAAACCTCAATATCAGTTTGGCTCAGCACTGAACAGTGACTATAAAGTAAAAAAAAATGACTGAGTTTAAAAGTTGTAAGGCTTTCTTTGCACCTATTGATCTTCATTGGAGACATTTTCACACATGAACTCTGGAGAATGTCAGGACTGTCTGGTGGGATACGATACACTCTGCAGCTACCAGAGCAGGCAGGAGGGAGTGCTTGCTGTGAATTCACCTGACAGTCACCTGTTCTTTTCGCAGCTCACTTTAAAGATCATTGAAAGGTGGCTGCACGTCTCTCAATAATCTTTGGAACAGTTCGGAGCTGCAGTGCACGTGGTTGATGACAAAATGACTCAAGATCGTTCTTCAAGTGTTGCCTACGTACATCCAGGAGGTCATTTGGAGTCGTGTTTAAGGTTTCCTCCAACTTTTCTTTCTTTGACAGATTCTTTACCGTGTTTAGCACTTTGTTGCTTAGTGCTGTTATCAGACTCTTATGTCATCACTTCTTTAAAACCAGTCGTTGTTTCGCTTACATGAAGAGCCAGCATGCCAGAAGTTTTGACTGTACTGTTTTAACCTCTCCATCTGCAACACAGAACTTTACATGTGCGCTCACCTGTGCTGTGTGTGTGCGCGTGCGTGCGTAACAGAGACAGATGCAGTAAAAAAGACAAAGAAGTGAAGAGGGCAGTGGTGCAGAGACAAGAGATGAAGTTGAAAAATGAACGGTGCATTTGGCTGTTTTTGTGGCAGTATTTTATGTCACTGGAACTGAAAACACACAGCTGTGTCTGCGTGCATGTGTGTGTGTGTGTGTGTGTGTGTGTGTGTGTGTGTGTGTGTGTGTGTGTGTGTGTGTACACATGCAGAGAGAATGACATTAAAATGGGTCAGTGTGGTCATTCACATGCTGTCTAATGGGGCTGGGGGCTGCAGGCTTTCCAACTTCCAACCAATGTGTGTTTTTCCATGTGCTCACCTTTTACTGCAGGCTGTGACTGCGTGTGTGTGTGTGTGTGAACTCACATGCATTTTCACTTTAGTGACACAAACATGGCAGGCACTGGAACAGAGAACTGACAGTAACAGATAATCTTCCTCTTGAGTCATCAAATTTAAAAATAGCCAAGCGTGACTTGTTGTCTTCTTCAGTTAAACATCGCATCCAATTCCATCGCCACGTGGCTCGTGTCCGACGGGCTCGTCAGCGGGGTGGCGTCATTCGTGTGTCTTGCCACAACAGACAGACACTGTGGTCACTGTAACCCTCGGCCGATTAACTAAAGCGTTATTTTCTTGTGTATGCAAGTCCTCTCTTCAACGTGTGACTTTTTTTCTTTTTTATTTCATTCCTGCGATGTGAAGTTTATTGCAATTGGGTGAACAGAAGAGGCGGGGCGTCGCCAGAGCTGTGGTGTCGAGAGGGAGGGGAGTGGTACGAGTCAAAGAGTCAGCTGCTGATTCACACATGTGGGAGGGGAGTTGGCCAAGAGAAGCAGAGGCAAGGTAGAGCAGTTTGGTTAGTTGGTGCAGGCTGCAGCGGGTCACCAATGCTTTTATCATCTGGCGTAATGCTTGATGTAATCTTGAACCTTATTCCGAAAGTCCTCCTGAGGACAGAGAAGGTAAAGAGAAGAAAAGAGTTAGATGGGAAAACTAGAAGTAAAAATGTTGCTGTGTTGCTTTTTCCCCATTTAAAACCAAAAATGGCAAAAAAACACAAACACTGATCTAACTGAAGATATTTTAATGTACTTTTTAGGTCGCTATGCTAGTTTTGGACATATTAGACGCTGTAAGGCACTTTTTCATTCCACATGTTAACTTCTTGCCAAATAATTGGAAGCAAAACAAACAAAACAAAAAGACAAACAAGTGTAAGAAGTATGCACGAGGACTAGGCTAATCTGAGGCGACACTACACAAATGTAGATCCAGAAAAATCAAGGGTCATTTGAATTTTACTACACTGAAAATATGCAAATGACCTTCGGCAGATTTGTCAATTAATTTCTTGATGTACAGTGAAGGCACCCTGCTAAAAATGCAACATGTATAGGGGTACAGTATGATGCATAAACACTGTTAAACAAGCAACAACAACAAGATAAATAACAGCCACTGTTGCAAAACTAGAATATTAATTTCACCAAATATTACATCTCTTTTAACTGTACTATGCACAGTATTAGTCCTATGCAGATGTTACACTGCAAGTAAATGTACGTAAAATCTACAAGCACAAAAACCCAAAACAAAAAGACAAACGTTTAAATTCTTACGTCTGATAGTTTAAAAATGAAATTCTTCAAGTTTTTCTCACTCGGGGCCCATCTAGTGCCCGAGACGTGGAGTGCTTGACATCTTGATAATAACGACGTCTGTATCGCGTCGACGTTCCTTGGCCATATCCCTTCTGGTCCTTAGTGTCTTCCTCTTTCCTTACCATGTGTCCCCCCCCTACTCGATCATGCCCCTTCAGGTTATGCTTGACATCGTTCCACCCCCACCCACCATGCACGAGTCCTGTAAACGCCCCTCTGTCGTTACTTCGACTCATATCTCCTGGTGGCATCTGGTCCAACCAAGCTGTGTGTGACCTCCACTTTCCATCCTCTTTTTTCCCCCTCCTCCGCTACCCGCTAGTTTTAGTCACGGTTTAAGTTTTCCATCCTTTAAAACCATTTGGCTTTTCTTGCCAACATCCTTTTCATCTTAACTTCTTTTTAATCCCATTATTCCTCTAAACACTGTTTCAATTCAATTTTATTCAGATAGCTTATACTTGCTTTACACTGTAGAGTAAAAACCTTATAATATTACAGAAAGATGTTTCAGCAAGCACTTTGTGACAGTCCAGAGACATTACAAGACTCACACACTCTCTCACATACACACACACACTCACACACACACTTTGAGGCTACAGGCTATTAATTTGAGCTGCAGCAGCTTTACTCTGTTGTGAAAAGGTTTCCTTTATTTGGTCTACACTAGAAAATGCAAGGTCAGGCTGTTAGCTACACACATTATAAATCATAGAAAGTGCTGTAACTGAGGTTGCTGCTCACACATAACAACAACACAGGGGACATTTTTTACTAGTATTAATGATGATGCAGGTATGACTCTGCACAGATTGCTAGCATTTCCCAAGTATGCGGACATGGGGTAGAAGTTAGGCCCCCCAAAAAGAGTTGAATCTGACTTAGGCCCTAAATAGCAGGTTAATCCTACTCTGTTTATTTAAATTTCTAATGAGAAACTATGTGCTACAGGCTCACATGGTCTTCTGCTGAATGTATTTTGAGTAAATGATCTTTTCCCCAAAGAACAGCACACAAATCATTCCAAACAGATGGATTTAATCCATCTGTGCTTTCAACTGGCCTTTTTTTTTTTTGCTATAAATATTTAGCTAGCTTATTTGTGACTAAATTAATATTTGTGCACCCTTGGTTCCTAAGCATCCTCGTCTGTCGACCCACTTCTTAATATACCTCTGCTTTTTTTTTTTTTTTTTTTTTTTAAAACCCATCCACCACCACAGGGTCCTGCCCTTGTCACAGAGTCCCCCCCTCTTGTCCAACCTTTCACATAAATGTGCCGTGCATTGACAACAACGCCCTTATTTATGCGTCAGGTCGAGCGGCCTGTTGGTTACGCACACATTTCTCTGAGGTCGCTGGAGTACGAACAAGAAATGGAGAGCATGAGAAAATAAAGAGTAAATGGGAAAGAGAAAGAGAGAGTCTGTGCACAAACAGGGGAGACGGCATTAATGCTGAAAAGTTGCCAGCAACCATAAAAGAATTGATGACAGCGGTCTGAGAATTGGTCCATGGAGGGATGATGGATCAGCTATTCTCTGTTGAGAGATTACTCCCTTAAGACTTTAATTAATGCTAGAAGAGGAATGAGCGCAGTGTGCTGGAGTCTGGGTACCCAAACTGCTTGTTTCTAAGTGAACCTACTATTTTGGTTTATTATATTGATATATATATAGAGAGAGATCAGACCGTACTGACTAACATACTCAGCCAGTCACACTGCTTGGCTTGTGACCTCAGCTTAAAAAAAGCAAAGAGAGCTACTGAGAATGGACAAGACTACAGTAAAAATGGTGAAACTGAAGACATACACCTAGTGATGCACAAATCAATGAGTCAGGGATCAGAATCATCCTTGATTGGTGAACATCTGTTCAGCCTCGTGTCTGTTTTGTATTTTGCATGAAACGTTGATGTTTTCTTGATTTTTTTTTAGTTCTGGTTATTAGAAAAAAAACTGGCAAAACACACTGAGCCAAGAGGAAATCAAAATGGGCCAAATATATTTCAAAGCTGCTATTACAAAAGGTGTAACTTGAAGAATTACTGCACAATAATTATAAACAACTTTTTCTCTTCCATTAATTAAATTTGAACAGCTTGATCCAGGCTTCATCAAGTATACCTAATCAACTACTTGCTAAATGCAATTATTTAACCAGTCAGTCCCATTCAGCACATTGAGGCATGTAGACACAGTCAAGACAGCCTGGAGAAGTTAAAACCAAACAGCACCACAGACGTTGAAGGTGACATGGTTGTTGATGCCAAATGGGCTCATCTGAGTATTCCAGAAACTCCCGATCTGCTCGGACTTTCCCACACAACCATCACTGGTGTTTACAGAGAATGGTCTGAAAAAGGGAAAATATCCAGTTTGCGGCCGTTCACTGGTAGAGGTCAGAGGATAAGTGCTGGACTGTTTCAGGCTAATATGAAGGCAAGAGTAACTCAAAGTAGTACTCATTATAACTAAGGTGTACAACCTGGTGAGTGGAGGTCACAATGAACTCATAATGAGCTTTGTCCTGAAATATTGGTACATTGAGGCCATAAATGGGTGGACATGGTCAGTAACAGCACTCGGACGGGCTGTGGTGTTTAAGAGCAGCTCAGACTGCACAGGATGCCAAACCTCGAAGCAGATGGGCCACAACAGCAGAAGACCTCACTGGACAGCACTCTGGTCAGCTAAGAGCAGGAGCTTGGATGATGGGGCCAGAATTTGGTGTAAATAATATGAAAGCATCGTATTTTTCGGACCATAAGGCGCACCGGATTATAAGGCGCATTAAGCAAAACAAAGCAGTCAGAGAAGTCAAACTTTACTCAACTCATTCTTCTTGCTTCCTCCACTTCCGTACCATTGATTCATTAATGTTGAATTCTCTCACAGCTGCTCTATTTCCATGTTGTTGCAGTATATTAATGACTAACCTTCTATTGTGGATGGATTATCTCAGTTGTTCTCCTGACTGAAGTTTGGTCCGTTTACAGCATCCTGCCATGCGATTGCATTTGTCCCTGACCATTGGAAACCCTCAAGTTAACGAGTAGAAAAAAGTTAGCGTTCATCCTCCAGCTTCACTGTGTTTGTTATGCTAACATAGCTGTGTCGCTAGCCACCACGTAGCACATCATTATATACCAGCAAGTCCAACTTCAGTAACCCTACAAACGTCACTGCTGTTTAGTTTTCTGTCTTCATTTATGTTGGAAGTGACAGCAGAGCTGTACGTTTGAATTTTTTAACAAATCTCTCAGTCAGAACATGCTATATCATGTTTAGCTAACTAGCGAGCTAACTTCCTGCTAACTTCTAACTCTGTTAAATTTAATAAATTCTGTTTGCATGGATGCCTGGATGTTAAACTTAATTGTTACACCTGGTAAAGCAGCAACGCTGATCATCTTATTAAAGATGAAAGAATTTAGACAGTTTTTAACTCTCAGTGATGCTGCAGTGTTCGTTTGACTTTGGGACCTGAAGTAACTGAATTTAGGACCCAGATTACTCCACGAGGCTCTTGACTACAGTAACCGTAATTCTCCGACAATCCATAAAGCGGTGCGGCTTCGTAGCTTACCAAAGTCGTACTAAAGCATTTTTTGACAGATTTTTGAGCGCCGTGTACCAAATAAAATCGGTTTGAGGTCTGTATCACAACCAGAATACATAAGGCGCACTGTCGATTTTTGAGAAAATTAAAGGATTTTCAGTGCGCCTCATAGTGCAGAAAATATGGTACTTAAACTACTTAAACTGTTAGGGCTGGTAGTAGAGGTGAAATCCTGTGGGGGATATTTTATTTACACACGTTGGGCCCCTTAGTACCAGCTGGGCAGCGCCTAAACACCACAGCCTGTCCGAGTGTTGTTACTGACCATGTCCACCCCTTTATGACCTCAGTGTACCCATCTTTCAGGACAAAGCTCATCGTGAGTTCATTGTGACCCCCTCAGTCAACAGATCTAATAGTGCACCTTTGGGATGTGGTGGAATAGAAGGTTTGCATCACTGATGAGCAGCTGACAGCAACTGTGTGACACCACTGTGTCAATATCATCTCAAAATCTCAGAGGGATGTTTCCAGCATCTTGCTGAATCTGTACCACAAAGAGTTCAGACAGTTCTGAAGGAAAAAGGATGGGGCAAACTCTGTACTGTAAGATATACTTAATGAAGTGGCCAGTGACGTGCGTATAGACATTAGTATGTCAATCTATCCAAGAACTGCTGAGAGAATTCACTAAAGGCTGAAAATTTTAAGCTCACAGTT